TATCCCGATGGCGAACGAGGTTGTCCAGGCAGCTGCGGTGGCGGCTGAGTAGGTCCTGGGGCCAGAGGTTCTCGACCCTGCTTTGCCACAAGCGTTCCGACGGTTCTGTGGCCCAGGCCGCTCAATTGAGAGGGCTGGCAGAGTCATTTTTTGCTCCGCCTTCAGTGCGTCTATGCTCTTGACTGATGGGTCTTGTCGTGGTCTGGGCCTCCAATGACATGGGCACACTGCCTAGTTAAGTACTTGTGCTAACCAGGCTTTGAAGATCAAGTGCGCCGCCTGAGGACCGAAACCCAAGTCAGGTCGTGCGGTGGTATCCTACGGGCCTGTGGACGCTGCGGAGAACGGGAGCGGCGCTGCACCTGCGGGAGGCACCCCGCGAGCTGGAGCCTCTGTGCAGGGCGGGAGCGGCGCTCTACCTTCGGGAGGCGCCCCTGTCGCGTCTTCTGAAGCCGTCGTTGCCAGCACGTCCACTTCCGTGCTAGGCGGCAGGTGGCAAGTGCTGCAAGTGGTCGAGGCCCTCCGTGAGGAAGAAGACGATCTCCCGCTCGTCGCTGCCGCCGACCTCTCATGGGATCTAACGACCGACTCCGACTGATCCTCGTTTGCGAAGGGTGCCTGTCGCAGCCCTGCCCAGGGCCAGTTCCAGCCTCGTGGCAGGGCTCCAGAATTTCCAAGAAGCCCGCTCCGTCACTGTTCTGTTCGCCCTTCGTGGGTTGACGCGGTGCCCGCCTGAGCCCAGGCCGGTGCTGGTTCCTGTGCAACCAGCCCGCTCCCGCCAGACAACTGCGCGCCTCCAGGCTGTACGCACCTCCCTCCTCCATTCTCATCCATCCTCCTCCTCGCTCTCTCCTCCCACCCCTCCTCCTTCTTACTCCCCCCTCCGCCTCCTCCTCCTCCCTCTTCCTCCTCCCCCTCCTCCTCCTACTCCTCCTTCTCGTCCTCCTCCTCCTCGTCTTCCTCCTTCTTCCCCCCCATTTCCTCCTCCAATCCTTCTTGTGAAAACTCCTCCCTGTCGCAACCCGAGGCCGGTCGAAACGGCGGGCCGGGCAATGTTTATGATCCTGAAGCTTGAAATTTGGCACAACTTCACGGATGGAGGGCGGTCCTTTTTCAACTGTGGCTCTCGCCTTGGCGCAACGCACATTCGTTCTCAACGTTTGCAGAGAGTTTCACGGCTGGAGGGCGGTTCCTGTTCAAAATGTGTCTCTCGCCTTGCCGCAGCTCACACTCGTCTTAAACATTTGCAAAAACTTCACAAATAGGCGGCGGTCCGTTTTCAAAATGTGCCTCTGGCCTGAGCGCCGCGCACACTCGTCGCAAAATATTCAAGAGCTTCACGGATGTAGGGCGCCTCCTTTTAAAATGTGGCTTTCCGCTCAGCGCCGCGCGCATTCGTTTAAAACGTTGCAAGGGGTTTCACGGATGGAGGCGGCTCCTTTTCAAAATGCGTCTCTCGCCTCAGCGCCGCCCGCATTCGTCTTAAAAGTACGCAAGAGCTTCACGAATGCAGGGCGGCTCCTTTTCAAACTGTGATTTTCGCCTTGGGGCTACGCACATTCGTCTTAATAGTTTGCAGCCGATTCAAGGATTCGCATGGCTAACATCCGAGATGTGGTGTATCGGCAGGGTGTCGGAATACCATAGCGCAACCAGTCTTGATTCGCGGTGCTGAAATCCGAAGAAGAGGCGTTCTTGCGCGATTCAGGATCGTCAAGACGCACCAGTAACGGTAATTCGCGGCGTGGAGGTTCCAAACATTGCGCCTGGGCACAATTCCACATGTTCAAAGAATTGCTTTCCAACGGGGCATTTCCTTCAGTGACAATGAATCCGTGTAGGAGCCTGCGAAGAGGGAACCTTGAGAGGGGGGTGAATGTAGTATCGTTGATGAAACTTGTGCTTAGACCAGTCCTCCTCCTCCTCGTGCTCCTCCTCTTCAACTCCTTTTCCTCGTGGATAACTCCTCCCTGTTGCACCCCGAGGCCGGTCGAAACAGCGGGCCAGGCGTTTCGCCTCCGACTTCCTCACCACTTATGGCCTTGAATCTGGACGTTTGCAGCAGCTTCACGGATGGAGGGCGGTCCGTTTTCAAAATGTGGCTCTCGCAGTGGCGCCGCGCACATTCGTCTCCAAAATGTGCAGCGAAGTTCACGGATGGAGGACGGCTCGTTTTCAAAAAGTGTGGTTTTCGCGTCGACGCCGCGCTCCTTCGTTGTAGAAGTTCACAGAAGCTTCACGGATGGAGGGCGCGGAGGAGGAGGAGGAGGAGGAGGAGGAGGAGGAGGAGGAGGAGGAGGAGGAGGAGGAGGAGGAGGAGGAGGAGGAGGAGGTTGTCAAAATGGTGGCTCTCGCCGTCGCGATTGGCGCGCCTTCGCAGCAGCAGTGCTCTCGAGAGAGAGCTCCACGGACGGAGAGGGAGGGCTCCTCTTCAAAATAGGCTGCCCTCGCCGCAGCGCCGCGCACATTCGTTTGTCAAAATTGCAAAAGTTTCCTTTTGCAATGTTGAAGGAGGAGGAGGAGGAGGAGGAGGAGGAGGAGGAGGAGGAGGAGGAGGAGGAGGAGGAGGAGGAGGTTGTCAAAATGTGGCCCTCGCCGTCGCGATTGGCGCGCCCTCGCAGCAGCAGTACGCTCTCGAGAGAGCGCTCCACGGACGGAGAGGGAGGGGCTCCTCTTCAAAATAGGGCCCTCCTCCTCCCCCCCTCCTCCCTCCTCCCTCCTCCCTCCTCCCTCCTCCCTCCTCCCTCCTCCCTCCTCCCTCCTCCCTCCTCCCTCCTCCCTCCTCCCTCCTCCCTCGCGGTGGGAGGGCGGCTCTTTCTATAAAGTTGCCCTCAAAATAGGCTGCCCTCGCCGCAGCGCCGCGGCCACACCTCCTTATGGAGACCCTCGCAATACTTTTTCGCGGTGGGAGGGCGGCTCTTTTTTTATAAAGTTGCCCTCGCCGCAGCGCCGAGAGCACACTCGTTTGTCAAGATTGCAAAAGCTTCCTTCTGCGATGTTGAAGGCGGTTCCTTTTCAAGCTGTGGCTCTCGCCGCAGCGCCGCGCACTTTCTCCTTTTTTTGATCAAAAAACACACAACAAAACTTGCATGTGTTTCACGGATTCCCCATAAAATTGGACCACTCCTTATGGAAACCCTCGCAATACTTTCGCGGTGGGAGGGCGGCTCTTTTTTTTCAAAAAGTTGCCCTCGACGTAGCGCCGCGCACAATCATCGTCAGAGCTTGCCGCAACTTCACGGATTGCCATGGTTGACGTCTCGCAATAATTTCGCGGTTGGAGGGCGGCTCTTTTTTCAAAAATGCTCTCGACGTAGCGCCGCGCACTATAATTTTCAGAATTTGCCGCAACTTCACGGATTACCATGGTTGACGTCTCGCAATACTTTCGCGGTTGGAGGGCGGCTCTTTTTTCCAAAAGTTGCTCTCGACGTAGCGCCGCGCACAATCATTGTCAGAGCTTGCCGCAACTTCACGGATTGCCATGGTTGACGTCCCCAAAAATACACTTCCGGCACTGTGTCGGAATGTCTAGGCGCACCAACCATGCTGATTCGCGGTGTTGCAGTCAGACCCAAGGACGGCGTTCTGGCACGGTTCAAGATCGTCAGGAAGCAACCGTGAAATGGTGATTCGCAGCGTTGAAGCCCCAGAAATTGCGTTCCAGCGCACTTCCATCTTTTCAAACGGTTGCCTTCCGAAGGGGCACTTCCCTCAATGGCAATAAATCCGTGTAGGCGCTTATGAAGAAGGAACTTGGAAGGATGGTTTACTGCAGTATCGTTGGTGAAACTTGGGCTTAGACTAGCCCTCCTCCTCCTCCTCCTCCTCCTCCTGCTGCTCCCCTTCAACTCTTTCCTCATAGTTAACTTCTCCATGTCGCGCCCCGAGGCCGGTCGAAAGGGCGGGCCGGGTATTTCGCCTGAGACTTCCTCAACACTTCTGATCCCGAACCTGGAAATTCGCAACACGTTTCACGGGTTGAGGGCAGTCCTTTTTCAACAAGTGGCTCTCGCTTTAGCGTCGCGCAGATTCGTCTTCAAAATGTGCAAAGAGTTTCACGGATGGCGGACGGTCCATCTTGAAAATGCGATTGTCGTCTGAGTGCCGCGCGCGTTCGCCTTCAAACTCTGCAACAAGTTTCACGGGTGGAAGGCGGTCCCATTTCAAAATGTGGCTTTCGCCGTCGCGCCGCGCACATTCGTGTTGAAAGTTTGCAAGAACTTCACGGATGGAGCCGGTTTCAAAATGTGGCTCTCGCCACAGCGCCGCGAACGTTCGTTTTCAATGGGCGCAAGAACTTCGCGGATGCAGGACGGTCCCTTTTCAAAAGGTTGCTCTCGCCGTAGCACCGAGCACATTCGTCTTACGAGTTCGCAGCTTTAGCATTGTCATTGTTGAAGTCCCAGAGGCAGTGTCATGGGACTATGTCGAAACGTCAGGGCGCGACGTTAACGTTGATTCGCGGTGTTGGAATCTCAGAGATGGTGTTCTGGCGCGATTTAGGATCACCATGAAGCAAAAGCAATGAGAATTCGTGGCGTGAAGCCCAGGAAATTGATTTCTGGCACGATTCCACATTTTCTTCGGTTCCCTCCCAGAGGGGAATTCCCTAAAGTAAGAATCAATCCGCGTGGGGGCCTGTGAAGAGGGAATTTGAGGGGATGGTTTATTGCAATAGTTGATGAGTCTTGGCTTTCCACTGGACCTCTTCCTCCTCCTTCTCCTCCCCCTCCCCCTCCTCCCCCTCCTCCTCCCCCTCCTCTTCCTCCTCCCCCTCCTCCTCCTCCTCCTCCTCCTCCTCCTCCTCCTCCTCCCCCTCCTCCTCCTCCTCCTCCTCCTCCCCCTCCTCCTCCTCCTCCCCCTCCTCCTCCTCCTCCTCCTCCTCCTCCTCCTCATTGTCCTCGTCCTCCTCCTCCTCCTCCTCCTTCCCCTCATCCTCCCTCATTCCTGCTGGCATCTTCCCTCCCCTCCCCCCCGAGGGGCGTGGCCCCACGGTC